TAGTAATAGTAATAGTAATAGTAGTAGACTAAACAATATACATAATGTCCATAAAGAAGATAATAAGAATACTACTACTACTAATACTACTCACATTTCTCTTCCACAACGGGGAACATTGGGATGGCGTAAGTTGCAGGCATTACAGCAGCAGTGTAGTATACAAGAAGAACGTCAACGCTTTGATATCACATGTGAAGAAGAACGTAAAATGCATCTCATCATTGAAGAGGAATTTCAAGACCGACTCTTGTTAATGACTATTAACACTACTAATATTAATAATAATAATAATAATATCCAAACCCCACAAAAACAACAACAACAATCTCAACAACAATCTCAATCTCAACAATTTGTATGGCCTTCACAAACAGAGAGTTCCCCCTACAGTACGGCGGGGAACAGTATCACTCCCCCGCAGACCACACCTATTGCCAAAGCCGACAACAGTCATCCCAACAACAACAACAACAACAGCCGCAGCAGCAGAAGTCCCAGTTATTATATCCCACACACCCCTCCAATGGAAATAAAGGAAGAAACCAGCAGTGAACAGGAATACACCGCCCTCTACACATCTGCACAACAACAAGCTCGGGAATATGAGGCGAAATCGGCACAACTGATGGCATACATCCGTCAACTCTCAGAGGAATTATTGTCTAGTGTACCCACACCAACGACTCTCGGCTCAGATGATATCTCTACATACTCCACAGGCTCACAGAGTACAGAGGCACGACAGCAACGATGGAGAGAGAAGAAAGAACAGAGACATCATCAACAGTTCTGGTGGATGACTATGCGGAGATTACATGATGTACAGGCGAATCGAGCACAACTGGATCGTGAGTATATGGAACTCAGCAAACATATTCGTCATTTACATACAAAGATGCAGGGATTATCATACAATGGAAAATCACAGAGTACACTACATTTCCCGTCATTTATTCTAAATCCTGATGGAAGGAGTGTATCGCAGGAAATGATGCGAGAACAACAACATCAATATCATCATCAACAAACACAGTATACTCTTAAGGCTCTTATGGCTATGATGTCTTCACTTTATAAAAAGTTAAAAAACACTTCCATCAATGTATTAACCATGCCTTTATTTTCTAAAGGAGAATTCATAAACTTTATGCATACACTGCACCACCAGCCCCAGCAGGCTTTAAAAGGACTACAATTAACACTATGGTTCATGATAGGAAGTGTAAAGATTATATTGGATGACTGTACAAAGATAATGATGAAAATACAGCGGTCTGTTCCTATTACACATATGACACCATCTAACAGTTTATACTTCCTTCTGGGTACAATCCTGCGATGCTGCGACACTGCCTTCACCAACACAGTTTCTTTGTTTTATATGAGTATTGGTACCTCCTGCCTTCTCTATTCTCTGGGAACATCCGCTATTGGGAATGCTTTTCATGCTGGATATGATTTTACTGCTGAGGCCACTACGACTGCCCTCAATACCTTTTTGATGTTTCCATTTGGTTGTTTATTGGAACTATCAAATGTTACTTCAGCGGCTACTCATCGTATTTTGACAGGATCCCGCCAAACAGCGGCCTACACTTTCTATTTCACTACTGGTGCTGGTGCCGCTGCTGCTGGGAATATGAAAAGGACTATAATTACATCGGCTTCTCTTGGGAAGCGAGTGACATCAGCAGCTGTTCAGAAGACTATGAGAATATCTCACCAACTAACCGTCTATCCTTTCTATTTTACTGTTGGTGTTGGGGCAGCTGCTACTGGTAATGTAAAACGAGTTATTCTTATTGCTATTAAAGATGTGGATCGAGTTGCAACTGCGCTTGGTCTTGGATGTATGAAACGAGTTCTTATTATTGCTGTTAAAGATGTGGAGCAAATTACATCTACTGCTCTTAACCATATGAAAGAGAGTATTAATACTGCTATTTGTAAAGCAAAGCAAATAACACCAGAAGCTGTTCAACACATGATGAGAGTATCTCACCAACTAACCGTCTATCCTTTCTATTTCACTATTGGTATTGGGGTTATTGCTGCTGGCGATGTGAAAAAGGCTGTTAATGGAATTGTTTCAGATGTGAAGAGTGTTACTTCAGCTGCTGCTCATGGCACTATGGCAGTATCCCGTCAAATAGCGGCCCATCCTCTCTATTTCACTGTTGGTGTTGGGATTGTGGCTGCTGGGAATGTGAAAAGGGCTGTTAATACAGCTGTTTCTGATGTGAAGGGAGTTTCTGTTGTTTCTTCAGTGCGGAGGAGTGCAGATAAGGTGAGTGTGTGGTGTCGTGTGCCGTGGAGGGAAATACATTCACTGTGAGGATGGTCTCCCTACTTAAGTGGATACGGCGTAAAGTGGTTAATGTTTATTAAGAAAATATATAAAGTGATAGTTTCTCCTGTATGTATGTGCTTTCATTTGTTTTTTTGTTTATCTTTTCTTCTAGCGTTTACTTTTTCTCGTACTTGCTGTTAAAATGCGAAAAGAAGAACAAGGGCAATTTTTTTTTTTTTTTTTAATGTTTCGTCAACCCTTTCCCACTTTTCTTGTATTTTTTTTTTTTTTTTTTTGTTTTCTACGTTCTTTTATTGATTTGTGTAAATGTTGTGCTTTTTATTATTGGTATTAGTAGTATTGTTTTTTTTTTCTTTTTGATTTCTCAGCAGGAGTGCTGATGTTTAGTGTTTTTTTCGGGATCCCTTTCTTCTTCATTGTCTGTTCCTCTGCAGTAACAGGAGTTGCAGGAGGTATTCCAATCAACTACACTGAACGGGAGACAGTTCATAGTTAGGTATTTGACAGTAAATAATATATTTATCCCATTTTTATTGATTTAATGTGTGTATGTGTTTATATATATATGTATTTGAGTGTATTCAGTGAGAGGATGAGGTTTGATTTTTATTTCTTCTTCATTTGTCTTCTTGTGGGAAGTACATTCTTTTATTACTGATTGATCTAAAAAAAAAACAAAAAAAACAAAAAAGAACAAAAAATGTTATTTATTTTATATATTGACTGTCGACCATGTCTCCACTAAGCGATTCTGGGCTGTTTGATCTTCCTTTTTTTTATTTACTAAAGTAAAAAGAGGGGTTGTGTGTATATACACTATTTTTCTACTCTTGGTGTTCTTATTTTCTGCTGTTTTTGTTGTTGTTATCGGTTCTACGAGTATACACAGCTGACTTTTTACTCCTTTTCTCTTGTTTGGATTATAATGAATGATTAAAGGTGAATTATAAAGAGTGAAAAGTCAACAAGAGCAACATAGTACTGTGATAATAATAATAATAATATCCAAACCCCACAAAAACAACAACAACAATCTCAAAAACAATCTCAATCTCAACAATTTGTATGGCCTTCACAAACAGAGAGTTCCCCCTACAGTACGGCGGGGAACAGTATCACTCCCCCGCAGACCACANTTTTTTTTTTTTTTATATATATATTTCTCTACTGCCTGAGAAGGCCAAAAGGGGGAAAATAATATACCTGGGGAAGCACAAAGGACAGCAGCAACCACAACAGTGGCTGAGGTTACTATAAAAAAAAACAGTAAGTAAGCCTCTTTGTTTTTCCAAAAAAAAAAAAAACACAGAGATAGAAGCAGGGAATCAGAGAGACATCTCTGTATTTCTTTGTTTATATAGATCTATCTATCTATCTATATCTCTTTTTTTTGTTTTTGTTTTCGTACCATATACGTACTCCAACACATTCATCCACAATAACCACAGTCTTATACATACATACCCACCAAAACACGTAATGCCGCCGGAAAGAGATGAGGATACTCAAGTCTCTCTCCTCACACCGAATTCTGAACCCAACAACAACCACAACAACCAACAACAAGAACAAGAAAAAGAAGCCCTTGCGGATCTTCTCAAGCGTGAGTCCCGTTTATATACATGGCGCCATGCATGGCAGTTGAGACTCTGGCGTGTGTGGGGTCCAGAGCCGCCGTACGCCCTGCAGTCGGAGGACACCGCCGGCGGCGGGATTGCGGGTGGATTGTATTACACTTGGCTGGCCGACCTCATGGGGCGGGCGGCGCGGGCCGATCGTGTTGGATTGCACCACGAGGAGGATCTCACGGCGGAGGATATGCCGCGGCCCACACGTGATTCCCGTGCGTACAACGCTGGTGTTCTTCTCAGTGCAGCCCTGCAGCGGCAGCGTTGGCGGCGGTATGGGTGGAGTGTTTATATTGGCGTGGAGGTGCGGCATCGACGGGATCCATCAAGTGCGGGGGAACTGCGATGGATAGGAAATGCCCAGCAGCGGCGCACACCGCGGGAGTTGTATGCGGGAGTGGAGTGGCGTGTACCTCCAGCACATCGTGTAAAAGAGGCATCAAGAAATGCAGAATGTAATCCATTTATGAATGGGATATATGATGGGGAACATCTCTTTCAAACATCTACAGTAGCATTAGGAGGAGAAGGAGAGGCAACGGCCACATTGGAGCGTGTGAAGAATATTGAAATTATTTCTCCACTATCAAGGAAGCATGTACATGGTGTGGGGATGCCAGAAACATCACAGCAATTACCAAAGTCTATGTCTGTAGCCAGAGCACTTTTTAGTGTATTTGGAAATAAAGTATATATACTTATCATTGTACGATTACTACGGGATGCTTGTCAGCTTGGTGTACCTGTGGTACTTCAGAGTTATATTGAATTTCTTCAATCCAAGGATCCACAATGGCGTGATGGACTCTTACTGGTGTTAGCCTTCGCTATACTCTCACTTGTACAGAGTGCGGCTGCTAATAAAGTAACACAATTGGGATGGCGTGCGGGCCACACCTTTCAAAATGCCTTACAGGCGGTTTTATTTGAAAAATGTGCCACCGTCTCTCGTAAGTCTCTCATGCATCCAGAGATGAATATAGGACGTATAGTAAATATGATGAGTAGTGATGTCAGTAGTTCCTCATCACTACCACAGATGGTTCCTATTGCAGTTGGGGCACCTATACAATTATTGGTGGCGTTATTTTTATTGTATAGACTTGTGGGTTGGTGCGCCTTTACTGGTTTTGGTGTACTGGTGGCATTTATGCCTGTTCAGGGTTTCATCATGCGGCGATACTTCACAGCGTATGGGGCACTTTCACAAGCAACAGATGCGAGATTAAAAGCCACAAATGAATTTTTCACAGGTGTGCGAGTAGCGAAGTTTATGTCTTGGGAACCATCATTTATTCGAAATATTGAAGAACTGAGAAGACGTGAAGTGGCTGCTTTGCGAACAACACAACTTCTTTACATTGCAAGTGCCTTTCTCACTAATGCGATCCCAGCAGTGGTGATTGCCGTTGTTTTTCTACTCTACAGTACTTCTGGGCATGAGTTAACCCCAGCTGTGGTCTTTCCTACACTCACATTACTGGATATTATGCAAATGCCTTTTATTATGATTCCTATTTCCATCTCTAGTGTGATGCGATTTGTGGTGTCTATGCGGCGAATTACAAAGTTTCTGGAATGCGAGGATGCTAATGATGGAATGCGGGAACTCCTACAAGATGATGAAAGGGAAACATCTCAACAATATCATCATCCCAACGGTCTTCATATGTATGGAAAACCCACCATGATAACAACATCCGCAATGGCATCGGCAACTACAAGAAAAGAAGCATCCGCTGCTGCAGCGGAGTTTATGCATGCTACTATCTCAACATATACACCACAGAAACTTCCACCATGTGCGAAGGAACGAAAGGCGGCTGAACGGAATAGAAATAATAATAATAATAATAATAATAATAAAGAGAAAAAAGACTCCACGGAGTACTATGAATTACAACGAAAAGAATTACTTCGTGATATTACACTTCGTATTCCTAAAGGTAAACTCACCTGTGTGATTGGGGAAACTGGAAGTGGAAAATCTACACTACTGGAATCTCTATTAGGAGAAATTGAGGTAACCTCTGGTGTATTACACACCACACCTGCCATTGCCTACGTTCCACAACAACCATGGATTATGAATGCCACACTTAAAGATAATATTTTATTCTTTAGTGATATGAATGATGATCGTTTTCACCGTGCTTTACGTTGTACACAATTAGAGTCTGATTTACTTTTACTTGCTAATGGTGTGGAAACCGAAATAGGTGAAAGAGGTATTAATTTAAGTGGAGGACAAAAAGCCCGTGTGGGTCTTGCCCGTGCTGTCTACGCCTCTGATCGTGATATGTATTTACTGGATGATCCACTCTCTGCATTAGATGCCCATGTGGGAGAACGGGTATTGCATGAATGTATACTTGGAGAACTGCGAGATACCACGCGGGTGTTAGCCACGCATCAATTACATGTCTTACGCTATGCAGATTACATTGTCGTCCTTCAGGAAGGTGGCACCATTGCCTTTGAGGGAGACTATGATGGATATAAGAAGTATTTGGCCAATAGAGTGGAGGCTGTAAAGAAAGAAGAAGAAGAAGATGATGATAATGATGATGATAAGAAGAAGAAGTTGGAAATAACAGACGATAATGCAGAGAAGAAGAAAAGTCAGACAAGTGATGAACAGAGAGATACCACGACAGAACAGAAGGAAAGTGTTGATAATAATAATAACACAATGAACAGTGAAGACGTTAATATGGAAAAGGATACCAATAACAATATGGATGATACAATTGATGAAAGCGACGAGAATGATAAGAACAATAATAACAACAATAAGAATAACAACGACAACGATATTGGTAAATTAATGACAGAAGAAGAAAAAGCAACAGGTGCAGTTTCCATGGAAACATATAAACAGTATTTCAAGGCATGTGGTGGTCTCACTTTATGTCTTTTTGTACTGTTATTATTTATTATCACAGAATGTCTTGTTGTGGCCCCTTCACTCTGGCTTTCCTTCTGGTCTGTGCGGCGTTTTGCTCTCTCTTCACGTACGTATCTTCTCATCTATACTTTATTAGTGGCTGGAGAGTCATTAAGTTCTCCATTACGTAATGGGACTGGATACGCCATTCAACGGTGTGCCTCTCTGAACTTACATGCGCAATTACTACGATCCCTCGCTGTAGCTCCAATGGCATTCTTTGATACTACTCCACTTGGTCGAGTATTAAATCGTTTTTCAAAAGATTTTAGTAGTATTGATGGAGACTTACCGGGAAGTATTATCTTCTTTGTACAGTGTGTGTTATCTGTGATATCTTCTGTGATAGTGATGGCCATATCACAGTATTTTATCTTGATAGTATTAATACCATGTGCATTATTTTACTATAAACTCATGTTATTTTATAATAGTGCGAATAGAGAGATTCGCCGTATTGCGAATCGAGCCAACTCTCCTGTTTTCTCCGTTTTAGGAGAAATGCTTGCAGGTCGATCTTGTATTGCCGCATATGGTAAAACCACAGACTTTTTACAAAAGGCTATGCATCGTATTGATATGGTGTATGCATGTTCATATATTCAAAAGGTTTGTAATTGTTGGCTTGCGGTGCGTATTGAGTTACTCAGTAATGCTGTATTAACATCTGTGGCTTTTCTTGGTGTTATACTTGTTATTTTACGTTTTAGTAACACAGATGTGGGACTTCTTTCATTAAGTCTCACTATGGCTATGAATATGAATTCACTTCTTAAATTTGTAGTGAATCAGTCTGCAGAGGTTGAAGCTAATATGAATTCGGTTGAACGGGTATTATATTACACGTTTAATGTGGAACATGAGGATTTACTGGATGATATTAATAATGCTATTAAGGAACAGGAAGAACGGGAAAAACAGAAAATGGTAAAAGAAAAGAAAAAGACTCAACACAACAACAACAACAACATCTTCAATGATGAGGGTTATACAAGAATAACGAGTGTTCGTGTGATGTCAGAAACCGATGACGAAGATAATCTAAATAACAACAACAACAACAACAACAACAACAACAACAACAACAACAACACTAACACCAACACCAACACCAACAACAAGAATAATAATAATAATAACTATAAGCTCAATATCCATGATGATAATAGTAGTAGTAGTATTGACCGAGAATACTCTTTGGCAGACGAAGAAGAAGAAGAAGGATCGAAAAATGTCGCGGGAACAGTATCTGCCAAATCTGGTTCTATTATATTCCATAATGTTACTATGCGATACCGTGCGGGTTTGCCGCTTGTTCTCCGTGGTGTAAACTTCAAAATAGAGCCTGGTCAGAAGGTTGGCATTATTGGCCGCACGGGCAGTGGCAAATCTTCACTCCTCCTAACCTTTCTCCGCATGGTGGAGATCACAGAGGGAGATATTTACATTAACCATCGTCCCATTCGCTCCTACCCCTTACGATCCCTTCGCCAACTCTTTGCGATGATCCCGCAGGACCCACTTCTCTTCAATGGCACTATTCGCAGTAATGTGGATCGCTTTCACAACTGCAGTGATGCGGCGGTCTGGCGGGCCCTGCGGCTTGTCGGCCTTCACGATCGACTGCGTGGGGAGGCGGAGGGCCTGCAGAGCCGCGTGGAGGAGGGCGGGGCGAACTTCAGCGTCGGCCAGCGGCAACTCCTCTGCATGGCCCGCGCCCTCCTCCAACAACAACAACAACAAGAAGAAGAAGGAAAAGGAAAAGAAGAAGAAGAAGAAGAATCTCATTCTCATAATAATAATAATAGTAATAATAATGCTAATGGTAATGGTGTGATTCTGCTGATGGATGAGGCGACGGCGAATGTGGATCCGCAGTTGGATCGGCAAATCCAACACGCCATCACACACACCTTCGCGGCACACACGGTGGTGACGATTGCCCACCGCCTGCACACCGTCGCCGCGTACGATCGGCTGCTGCTGATGGAGGAGGGGCGGGTGGTGGAGGCGGGACCCCCGCGGGAACTCGCCCAGCGCAGGGACTCCAGACTGGCACAGATGCTCTTGGCAAGAGGAGAGGCGGCACTGCAGGAGTTTATGGAGGCAGCTGCACGGAGAGAATAGTTTTTGGTTTTTTCTTTCTTTTTTAAAAGAGATAATAAAAAGAAAAAAGAAAAAAGAAAAAGAAGGTGAATTGGGAGGAAAAATTTCAGAAGGAAAGCAGAAGGAAAAAAAGAAAAAAAAAATAATAACAATTTTTTGGGGTTTTTAATACAAGCATACGTATATATGCCTATAATTTCAGGAGAAATTGAAAATAAAAAAAAAAAGAAGGGAGGCAAAGAGAAAAAAA